AAGGGAATTAACATGGGAGAATATTATAGAAAAAGTTCAAGATATATTGTTTCTGCTATTACAAGTAGTAAATACTGAGCAGAAGCCTCTTTAAATATTACATTTTCTTTTCAGACAAATAATATTATGGAAATAGAACCTTTGCCAGTTAGTAATCACCCAGAAGTCAAACATACTTTGAATTATGCTATTAAAGTATATATTCAGTATCGATCAGCTGAAAAAAAAATAGTCAAATATATTAGCCTAAGCACTTAGAGATAAATTTTTTACAAATAAAGGATACTGATGATGTTGTGACTATTTATTGTAAATAGAGCTCCTAATGAGTCGAGTCGAGTCAAGTTTTAAAGATAACTCGACTCAACTCAAAAAATTTGAGTTGAGTCAAGTCAAGTCAAAAAAAATTTAAACTCTAACTCGACTTGACTCGAGTTATACTTAAATTTGACTCAACTCAACTCGAGTCAAATAAAAACCCCCAAAATATATTTGCTGATTATATAAATAATAAAATAATAAAATAATATTAATATTTCAGAGGCTATTATCTAATGAACTACCAATCAGAATTTCATGAAATCTGCACCATCGTGTTCGCTGAGATGCATTCATCAAAATGATATGTGTTGAATTTCTAATGGATTACTGAATGCAAATATATTCAAGAAAATGTGTTGAAAAATTGATTTTTAGCTTTGAAGGTCATTATCTCGAGATCTACCGATCAGAATATCGTGAAATCTGCACTATTGTGTTCACTGAGATGTGCTCATCAAAATGATATGTGTTGCATTTCTAACAGATCACTTTTTTTTTTTAAGATGATTTCAGATGAGTGGTCGATTGATGCTCCAAACCTTTTAAGAGAGAAAGTTTAGGTTTCCCTGTAGGGTCTTTAGTGTTTGAATCATCTTAAGCGTTGACCTCATTTTTCAGAGGCCCCTACCACCGAAACACATCCCCTAGATTGTGCTATCTAAGGTATGACATTCTAAACAAACATAACCCAATTATGCGGAGAAGATACCTCAGCAACCCTGATACTATTAAATTTGGATAGAGGGTATATCGCAGCCATAGTGAAAGTCCTCACTACCTTACCAACAATTTGAGTGAACTATAATCAAGATCCAATTACTTGGTTTGACTTAAATACGAAGTGACCTTACGCGGCTTATGCCTCGGGAGCTACCATATTTGTATAGACTACTTCAACCAGGTGACCTTAATACCCAAAACATCAAATAACTCAGGAATTGAACCTGACCTCTACTCCTAGTAACAGCTCGATTTGGGTCAGTACTGCGGCATGCAATGCAGTCTAATTATTACTGGTTTGTTACTCAATCTACTAATGTCTGATCAATCACTTCCTTAATTGATACATGAAATCATTTCTTATGAAACAACCATATACGGAAATAAGGGTCCCTGCCGTGGTAGTCATACGACTGTACCTATTACAGGCCAATCAGCGAAGACCAAGTTTCTGTTAATCTTTGGCTTCATTTGCATCTACTTGTTCTAACATGTGGAGTATTTAGGCATGATCAACGTTAATCAATAGATCGATTAACCAAATTTGTACGCATATTAGTTTATACACCCATCATTTCAGTTACAAAGAAATTCCTTATGGAAAATCATACAGTTTTATGTATCGGCTGATACCTGAACTGATGGTATATCGCTGTGTAATGAAATTTTAGCTTATAGGAGACTTGCAGTTTGACTACTGAGCCAGGACTGCCACACCCTTTTCTAACGGATCCCTAGACGCTGAGATATTCAAGAAAACGTGTTAAAAATATTCGTAACTGGTATATTTTCGAATTCTGGGATTATACTAAATTGAGTTACACAATATTCCAAATATAGATATATCCTTACACAAATTCCTAAAAAGGAAATTTTGGCTATCAAAAAATCGGAAAATCACTAAAATGAGTTACACAAACTTTCCAAAATGGTAATTTGCATAACATCAATTCACGTGAGTCAACTCGAGTCAACTCGAGTTGAAATGAGTCGAGTCGATTTATTGACTCGACTCGACTAATGACTCGACTCGAGTCAAATAAGTCAGAAAATTTTTGATTCAACTCAACTCAAACTCGAGTCAACTCATTTGACTTGTGAGTCAATTCGACTCATTAGGAGCTCTACGAGTAAAAAACAGATTCAAATTTTTTTGATTTGGTTAAATTAGACCTGATCACCATAGCTGGCTAAAATATAAAATTTATATTACATGAGATTAGAATTGCGTTGCCAATCAGATTTTGTGCAGTAGCTAAGCCACCATTATTATTCGATTAATTGTAAAACACGAAACATGTTTAAAAAAACTCAAAGTACAATCTTTATTATATTTTTTAAAAATAAATGTGAGAAAGGGCCGGCCGGCTAAGAAAAAATGAAACTAATAAAAGATATTGGAGTAGATCACGTTTAAAGGGAGGAATCTACGCTAACTCCTAGGCTTTTTACATAGTAAAAATAGCGGTTCCTTCTCACTACTCCGCATTATTATTTACACTACCACTAAATTCTTTACTATCTACATATCTCATAATTGACATTACTATTCTAAACTTTGGATCCCTTCCGCTATAATAAAAATTTTTTACAGTTTCTTTCCCAATTTTTTTTCCAGTAAATTGACGAATTTCACGTCTAACAGTTTCAAATGTATAATTTAAAGTTTCCTCTTCTTCCTTATTCGAATCAAAAACTCGTTTAAAACAGTTCCTATTTTCTTCAAGAGATAAATCAGATAATCGACTAGAAGAAATTTCACTACTAGAGGAATGATTAGCTATACTTAGTTGATCAAAATTGACCTGAAGCCTTTGAGCAATTGTATAACGTTGGATCATTTCATTTCAGAGAGCTTCATTAGAGTCCCTGACCGAATTGAATTCAGATGAAATGTTGCCAAAATCATTACGGCAGTCTTCTTCAATATTGTTGATCATTGATAAAATTTTCTGCGTCTCAGAAAAGTAATCAGCATCACGTGAATTGATTTTAGCGATTTTTGCAGTAAGATTATTATTTTTTTGCCGAGCTCTGCAGTGAAAGAAGAATTAACTTCAGAAAAACGTGCGGAAACTTCATTGGTGATTTTGGTATTAATTTCTACGGTAAGTTTACTGAAGATGTTTTCGATTTCCAGTGTATTATTCTTTGCATTGACGATTCTAGTGACACATATAGTAAGTTCATCAAACATTTTTTGTTTGAGATTTGACTACATGGTAGCGATCCCTATATATAACACTGGACTAATAAATAAAAAACAGCGGTTAAGGTCAAAAAAGGCATGACCCCGTAGAGTTGATCAATAACAAACTAGACATGATTAGATAAATTGATGCATAGTAATTTTATTAAGAGATTTTATTGGTGGATCAAGTTTTTTAGATCTTAACGATTGATTTTTTTAATATGCAATTCTCTTGCGTAAATGCGCTGAAAAAAAGCTTATTTTATACTGTATGTCTACTACGTATGAAAAGAGACTTTAACCTGATTTAATAAACATCATGTTGCTTTATTATGTGTATTTGTCATAACTACATTATTTATAATTACGTTATTCATAGGTGTCTAATGGTTGAAATAATAATACATAACACGTTAACAGTGTGAAATCGGTATTATGGATACTAATGAATTTGCTAAGATCATCTGTCAATCTGCGGGAGATAGCTTACCCTGCTAGTATTTCTTTTTTTTTCGAATTAATGAAAAAAAAGTGACACCCTATTTGTGCTCCATACAAATTTACTAACGACCCATATATAGAATTTGTTTTATTATGTAGAGTGTGGCCAGAGGTATACCCTTACATTTTATAGAATCAGATCTGTAAATCGGTAGATTAAGAGGTACAATTTTCATTCTTGTCTCATTCTAACATCAGGGATATTGGATTGACTTGCATATCACCAATTCAAAAATTCATAATATATATATTATGTTAGAACCTTCCGAAAAAAAAGTCAATCATCACCAGATTAATTATTTATGGATCTAGACCACAATCCACTTCCCCATAGATTTGCAAAAATATGATAGTATTTCATGAAATCTTGGCCCTAGCTTCATTGTTATAAAAATAGCATATAGCATATATTAACCATTATTACAAAAATAGCACATCTAGATCTAAAAATAAGAGCACTTTGTAAATAGCACAGGGCGTAGTTAAATCACAGGAGAAGTATAGAAATGACGTACTTACTGTGCATGTTATCTAAGCTACCTATATGATTCGACATTCTATGTTAGTGATGAATACCTTTTAGAAAATGATTATTTGTTCACGAGTTTCAGGACCTTTATTTTCAGCATCATTAAGCAAATCTACCACTATTTCCGTAGTTGTCACTTGGTGTAATGTCGCAACTGATCCACGGCTTAACCATCCTTTTTTACCTTATCCATTTGAATGATAAAATCGGTTATGCGATTATCTATTTTATTTCTATAATATTTTACTTTGGAGACGAGTCCATCTTGACTGGATGCATCATGAAATGCCTTCATGCTAAAGAGTTCTCTCATTAAGACGTGATATGCTTTTTCTCTTGGATCATCGCATTGGTTTTCGAGCTTAATCAAAAGACTAATAAAGTCATCAACCCAAGGCATATTTTTTCGATCATATGATAATACTTCATGAATTTCATCAACTATTAGACCTTGACAAATAAGTTCTCGTAATTCTGTATAAGGCTTCTGGACTGGGTTTTATCGGCTATTGCTGGAGTTGCTGATAAAGTGGATTAAATATGTCTCTTATTCTTTTTACGAACCATTTTCTTGACTTTAGAAGAGTAAATTCAAAATTTCATACATAACTACTGCGGATATTGGTGACATTTACTGCGTATAGCATATTCAAAAAAAGAAATAAACCTATACGATTTTACCATCTTCTGCACATTTCAGATGATCGATCACACATGACGTAGTTCGATAGATAATATTCAAGCTTGAGCAAAGATTTCTATAAACTGGGTATAAGTATATTCCTATTTTTTTATAATATCATCGAACCATCTAGTTTTAAAATAGCACTTTATTATACTATGTCGCATCAGCTCTTCACCAATCAATCTATCGCGATCTGTTAGAAATGGATAATATTTTCTAGGATCGATCATAAGAGGATTATCTCTCTTTCTCTCTATTGCTTTACGATATAATTTCTTATCATTTTCCAAAGTAGTTAGGAACTGTTCACAGTCCCTTTTTTCTTCTCAGCTTCCGTAACAATCGAAAATTTCTCTGGATCGAGACCATGTTTAATGGTATATTGATAAAGACATTCCATCTTATTTGAATCAGTCCTAGGAATCGGCATTCGAGAAGTTGCAGATAGTACACTTGCTTGAGATTTGGGCGAATTGACTGAAGAAATCACCTGGAGAATTAGATCCATAAGATGAAGGAATAGGTGCTGTTAAGACACTTACCTCAGCTGAATCTAAGCTTTGCTCTTACGCCTCTGATGAATTAACCTGTTGATTGTTTTTTGGATTCTGATGATCATCAGTGATTGCTTTAGAAAACACATAGTTTATAATATTTTGGATTTGAGTATTATTAAGGTTCGAGATTGCATTTGCATTATAGGTAACTTGCTTTATCTTTTTCATGCCTACTGCATTAAATAGTTTATATAATTTTCTTGCCCTATATAGTTGTTGACGTAGATTAACATCACTAATATCTGGAAGTAGTTTTTTAACTTCTTGGTATACTTGTTATTTCGCAGTATTGATCTTAACTTTGTTGATAGTATGAATTTTATTAATTCTTTTGTCATAACTTTCTGCAAAGCCATACTAGTGTAAAATCTCCTCATAACCAGAATGAACAGCTTTTCGAAACATACAGTGGCTTCCAAAAGAAACGCAAGTGGCATTGCTTGCCTTTAATTGCCTGTAACTCACTGTGCACGAATGCT